TGGCCAGGGGTGACGTATCGGGACCAATCACAGTGCAGTATATTGGGAAGAAAGTATTCATTCAACCGCCAGCAGGTGATGAGCGTAAACTCCTATTGAACAATTGTATACGTGACTTGTTATTATTATTGATACATTGTTAATTCCAAACGGTGTTTCGAACTTTTGTATTTTGAATTATCAAAAGTACTTACCAAAGACTCAACATCAAATCTAGTCTCGTTCAACCAGACACTTGTCTGCGCAAGCTACGCCGAACAGAGAGTCTGGTCAAACCCAGTGCTATCGTTTTGTGAAGTCATAATGCGGCTTACCAGAATTCTGATATATTATTCCATTGGTCAAAGGTAGACACACCCTTTTCAACTTTTGAAGTCATGAAATTTGAGTGGTGCGAAATTGTATATTTTGATTGTAAAAAACTTACCTGTACATGCATTCCTGAAGTATCAGTGTTTTCACTATTATCGCGTAAATGTAAGAAAATGCTCTGGAGATTTGATACATGTTCTTACATTTTTCTCGATAATAGTGAATACACGAATACTTCAGGAATGCATGTACAAGCAATAGTTTTCATTAATTTATTTATTCTTGAGACTACATCATATCAAATTGTGTTTACAGATCAGAAACCGGAAATCAAGATTTTGACAAAGCAAGGGGATCTGGACTGGAGAGAAGGAGTCGCCGGTAAAAGAATGTCCGACAAAGACTTAAGCGTCCAGATCGATTGTCTACCGAAAGGGTAAGTTATATAAAATAAAGTAGCTTCTGTAATTGACAGAAAGAATTGTGTATCAAATGTTTTCTTCACGTTAACATATTGGAATCAGAAAATGCGTTAGAAGGAATATGAGTGTTTTCATATGTGTTTATGAGACTGTATTGTTTAGGTTCTAAATAAGGTTTCAGTTATAATAAATGTTTTACCATATACATGGATTTGTGCTATTTGTTTTGTCATGAGTGATACTGCTAAGTTTGATAAAAGTTCAACTTGAACATTTACATATCAACACGCACGCGGCATATCCGAACGACACACTACTCAACTGCCTATAACACATACTACAATTGTTCCTTCCAGTTACAAAAATTCTCAGGAAACACGCTTTTATTACATCTGATTATATGTTATTGGAATTATTGAACTGTAATACTTACCTGGTTATAGTGTGTAGTATACGATACAAAAGACAATCATCTCACTATTTCTATATCATTTTATTTGTCGACTCTCAAACAATATTCGCTCTTGGACCTCCGCGCCCTAGGACCAATAAAGAGGTTTCTGGTTGATACGGAGTAGAAAATTGGGTGCTGAACATATTCCATGGATACTCATATTGTACGAACATGTATCTTCAGAACTTACCCTTTTGTATGCGTGCGCATTAAATCATGTTTCACTAAACGTGTAAGTTTAATAATATGGATAATTGATTATTTTCATGAGTCATAAACTCGCGATTGAGTGGCATACACATTAATGCGAAAAAAGAGTCTGCGCAGATTGACATGTAATCTCAATGCATAAATTAACGAGTGACTTTCTAAGAGCATCATGTTCGAATTATTCAGAAAATATCAGTCATGAGTCTGCCTTTTTGAGATCGGGTATACTATTTCAATTGATGAATTAATACTATTATACGTGAATTTTTATTTGGGGAAAATATGCAACTGTTGAGAGTTTGTTCATTTCAGTGTGAAAACATCAATCGCACCGTATGAATCAAATTACGCACTTGTAAGTATTACTTAAAACGGCAAACATAATAGTTAAACAATAAACATATGATCCTTTTTAAATCAACGCATAATGCATATGAAGTTATGTTTTATATTCTTCAAATATATTAAATACAGGTCCTTTTAATGTCCAAACAAGGATACTTTTATCATTCCATTTATTTTTTGTTACACGTGATTAGTAACTAAGTGAAATACTTAATCTGGAAACCATATAATAATGTCTGCAATAGAGATCTTTGTAAATCACAATAAACAAAGGTTATAAAACTATCAATCTTTTAAACATATATAATATTAACTTTAAGGTTACATAATTTATGCTATTTTGTTCGTTTTATCATTGTAGTCGTTCAGAGGGAGAAACCGGCGTCTTGGTAAGAATGACGATTTTTATCTTGGATAATGCTACCGATGATATATATATTTATTATTATACAATCTAAATCCATTATCAGATTCAGTTATATTATCTATATGATATAATCTTTTTAAGAAAAGGTGTATACGTGTTACAGGCACTTGCATAATATTTTTCTAATTTTAAGCAATACCGATTCTTTAAAATACTATTTTGTAGATCACGAGAAGGAAACGCTTTTGGGGATATACCAGAAGAGGATTCAATCAAAATATTGGCGAATGATTGGACGATCTCTCGGATTTACACAAGATGTTCTGTCAGAAATAGAACGCAGGAAACCAAGATCACTCGAGGAAAAGGCTTGTATCGTCTTAGGACGATGGCTGAAGAGAAATACAGAGAAGAGTCTGTTCCAGATACGGGATACATGGATGTGACTGTGTGTAGGACATTCTCGATCATAGTATCGATCGGTTTAAACTAACCATGCTACTTGTTATATGTCGTACATGCTAGATTGTACATGCTTATAGTATAAATAATATTTTTATATATTTTGATTTTGCCGTTTATAGTGATATATCTGACTAAATATTAACTGGACCTTTGTAGCTTCATGTAGAATTAAACTATGACATACATACACTAATTGTATATCGTACGTTTTCATTGCCATGGAGATTTATGTATCTGTGGACAACTGTATTCGTTTGGTGAGCATCCTTTCATATATTCATGCCTCATTCATTTCACATCTTTTTTTTTCATCTTAACAGGAATGTATTGTGTTATTCATCGCGCTGGCATGGTTTGCAGTTCCGAAACATTAATGATGTTTGTTGAAAGGCTATTTTCAGTCGGATCAGTAGATTCACCATGCGTTTTACCGAAAGCGTCTTGCAAATGAGATTAAGACATGTTCAATTAATCAATGAATAATAGCAAGTGACAATTTCTGAGCAACATATATTTAGCTTAAACCAGTACCGAAGAAGTAGTATTATCGATGAGTAATTTCTATGCACGATAGACGGTTAAAAGAGGTAAAACTATAGCAAAATATCAAAGTTAATGTTGCACAGAGCAAGCGCGGAACCATTATCTGCAATTGTTAGTAAAGTTCAATCATACATGTGGGATATAAGCAAAACGCAGGATCTGCGCATTTTCCAAGAGTCCTTTCGCTACAATATTGTAAAGTTATTGTATTTGTTGCTGCAGCATAACTTTCTGATGCGTATCACTTGTGTGTTACACGTAACTTATATCTAATATTTAACTCATCTAATACAATTTTTGTGTAATCAATGCAAGTTCTAGCTGACTACAGTATTTAGTAGATAATTATAAACATAGCTGTGCAGTAGATGTAAGTTAAAGTGCGTCGTCAGGATAAACATAAAGGTATCATTTTAGTATTAAATCTACAACCTTATTTGAATTTCAATTTTTGTATGAATAAGCAAAATCAAAGATACCTTTATTACAAAATATCTGATAATGACTGGGATAAAAAAAAATGTCTATGATAATTTTCAGTATCATTCATGACATAAACCTGATTTGTTTTTCTCCGGAGAACCTCAAAAGAATACCGTGCAAGTCGATAGATGATGTATTCATTTTAATTTTTAAGCATGTTGGAATTTATAGATAATTTTTCTTTTTTTGCCGCTTCAAATATGCTATTTTATGAGTTATATCAACATATATTTCAGAAACGTATCTCAATTAGTTTTCTGTTGAATCTTTTGCCTTTAGCACAAACAAAAATAGATATGATGTTTCAATACAAACCGACTGTGAGGACATGTTTGTAAATGTGACTGTAAAATAAACCATTCGACCCGTTATAACTATTTTTGAGAATGGTTAAGTCGAGTTTATAAAGCATAAATCTACTATATCATAACTGTCAGGTTTGCGTTTGGATCGAATCTGAGGAGACAGACATTTTGAAATCTATCCTTTTATTGTGAGGGTAGAAGTAGAGACTTCCTCATTCTCATTCGTGCATGTAGTCCTTGCAGACATGCTGCCGTGTGGGTTAGGACAGAATACTTTTCTAGAAATGATTCATACTTACTCATATGATTGCAAAATTTGTATTGCTGCATTCATTGTGCATCTGTAAATAAATATTAGTTAAATGTGCGCATTGTCATTTTTTTCTTTTTGCTTTCAAATAAAAAAAATCACATCTTAAGTCGTACCAATGTTAAACTCTTGACATCTAAATGACAGGGTGAATCAAACATACCTTTCATACTTTCTCCCTTTGAGTTTATCGTTTCTGCATCAATCATTGTTACAGCACGACCAATTGCTTATAGGGACCGCGGAACCAAATGATTTTCCATAGACGATAGTGTTAACGTTTACCACTGTCCTGGTTAAATGGGGTTATCCACACTGGTTTACCTGACCTCATTTTGAAGAATAGCATCTCACACAACTGTAAAAAAAATATTTCAAAATTCTGCCAATTTGAACTTTTTTTATATGGGGGCTGCCATCTTGTATTGAATTCGGCACTAAAAATCGAACAAAATTTACAGCAAATTACACACTTAATAAACTCACCCAGACAAAACCAGACTTGAATTTTTTTTTTAATTTTTTTATACATATTAAATCTATATATATTGCTCAACCCACACATAAAACTTTTGAAACTTCTGCCACCTTAATATCCAACCAGCAGGCCCCGAGGCATTCACCTTTCTATTAAATCTTCTGCCCAAAAGGGAAAAACCCACAATCTATTTTTGAATTGGTTCCGTGGTCCCTATAAGAACGGTTTGGACTTTGCGATATGTAGAACGTCGATCGTGTAGATTAGATGTCAATTTGATTTTCGATTGATCAATTTTCTCTCTAGTGGGTTTTTCTTCACTTGCAATGAAATTGGATTTCTCTTGACAACATTGATAGTAGGTCATTTTGCACGAAAAAATCATATTTCTAAAACGCTTGGTTTGTCGGCAATGCTTTTCGGAATCGCGGCAATCGTTTGTTCTTTGGCATATTTCGGATCTACTTCTTCAAATAGGCAACTGAAACTTCTGACAAAATCATCATCTTCTGACAAAGAAGTTTTGAAATTAGCATTGTCAAACTTGTCAATGTTTCATGAGCAATCCAAACAGTTTTTCAATAGAAATATAACCGGAACAATCAACGTATCGGACACATGCGCAGCCGAAGTCTCTACGGAAAATGGTAGAGTTGGAGCAGCGACCGGATTTACTACGACCGCGTTTACCATCATGTCCATAGGGTTGATTATACAAGTAATGACAAAAGGCCCGAGAGTGTCCCTGTCTTCTGTTTATATAGATGATACTGACGTGAAAACTAACACAGCAATGTATGTAGGTAAGCAGTGCGAATAACAGTTACATAGCTACCGAACAGCAAAATGGACGATTCCAAATATTTGAGTGCTTTTTTAACCAAAATGGTAGTCGTAATTTCCATCATGTTCCTTGTGACTTCATGGTTTGGATAAATCAAATAGTTAACCTCTCGATGCAGATGTTTTTTAAAAAAGGTTTTACATATCAAACCATAGAAGTGAACAGGGCTAAGTCTGGCCTTTTTATGTAGTGTATATAACATTAACATACAGTACGCGTGAAGTTGTCCATCAAGATAAAAGAAAAAAAATGTAGCTGTCTTATGTTTGTTATTCAACAATAGAAAAATGTTTTGTTATATAATGTGTTTTCTCTAAATGATCATTTCATGTCAATCAAACTACATACTAGCTTGACTGGCTGCATATCATTGGTGAAATGGAAAGTTTGAGTACGAAAATCATTCTTTGAATTTTTGCTTTAGTAATGTAAACGTCCTTACAACGCCCCTTGTCGTATGAAGATAGCTTTTGAAATAATTAGAAATATATAAATGACAATGAAGGCGAAATAGAAGAAGAAATATAAGAGAAAGAACATTTCAAATAATATACCAAAATAGTTATAGACATGTGATATTGATAGAGTGACAAGATAGATGTATTTTCTGATAATCGTTCACTATATATATATAACAAAGACTATGCGTTTGCCACCAAACCAGCATGGTAACCATTCATCTTCATTAGAACAGCATAGGTTCATATAGCACACCCAGTAAACACTTTTATTTATGATGTTTTAACGGCAAGTACGATATGTACTGTTTGCCCTTCATCAGACAAACGACCGGTAGAGCAGAGGTTAAATAATGTGTAGAATATTGATGATAACCGATCGATTTGGCCACGCCTCACTTTGTTGTTATATACATATCCGACAATCTCCTCGGGTTACAGTAATACCATCGGAGTGAAAGGTACTTTCACACTCTAATGAATGAAGTATTTCTTTTATGAAACCGAAACATACATGTAAAAGACATAGCGGCTCATTTGTGCTGTCACTATTTTGCGCTGTCACATACTGCCACGCATTGCTATTGCGTTGGGAAGCAACCTTCCATTGACTCAATGTAAAGGCGAATGTGATATTGTGAAATTAATAGTTTGTCTCGACTAATCAGATAAGAGGATTTTAACAAGAGGTCAAATTTAATTTACTCTCTTTAAATTGTTTTCTTGATTCAGCCGTATGGGTTATATAATATACAATAGTATACAACATTTGATATAGCGCCCTATCTAGCTAACATAAGCCACTTTAAAGCGCTTTACAGTACATAGATATACAATTTACAGGCGCTAACTACTAGTCGTATGCCACCTGGCTAATATCTCCCTATGTGTGTGTGCCTGTGTGTGTGCTGGAGATGTATTGTGTTCTGTTTGTAGTGGGACCGTGCTTCCAATGGTATCATTTATTGTGCCACCTCATAATCATATTATTGAATTATTTTGTGTTGATTGGCCGTTCGGAATCCAATGACTAACTAACATCACAATCGTATAACAAAGCGTATGTGATAAAGCGTGTGCATCTATGTTTTCTGAGTAAAGACAAAAATCTAAAATTAAGACGATCGGTACTCAATTATAAGAAAATATCATAACCTTTCCATGCAGTGTGGTGGTCGCTTATGGACTGAATGTTTTATTTTGAAATACTATAGGAACGATAAGTGTATTTTGAATATATTGTTTCTCGGGTATTGCTGATCTACTGATACTATATTTAGACTCTTGATTGCAATCCAACATACTGGTTGTAGGTCGGGCCCCTTAGAAATGATTCTGACTGTCCATGTAGCCGCCTTTTTTACTTGTAGAGGGTTTAGAAACAATAATTGAAACTTGTTATATAGAATAAACGTCATTGCCTTCATCAAATAATAGATTCAGATTTGAAAGAAACAATTGTAAATGTAGCAACTTGGAACGCGCTTTTACTCAATATTGTCAATAAGAAGTATATGCAAATTAATTAACTTGACCTTCACTAAATGACATAAGGGTTAAAACTTTAACAATAAGACAGACAACTGACAGGATTTCTTTATTCTCATCATTTTACAAACAATCAGTATTGCATTGTTAGCATAAACATGTTTATATAGCAAAACATCAGGCCAAAGTGTCTCACCTGAGTTGTTACATAGTTATTTTTCGCTAGAGACATGAAGCGGAAATAATCATGTAAACAAAGAAATTTACATTATTTGTCCTGTCACATAAAGATGAAGAGAAATAAATATACGAATCAGAGTTCTTTAATAAATACCTAAAATACCTCAGGGGGATAAAGGTTATATAACTCCTACATAAGTGTAATTAGTTACCTCAGGGGGATAAAGGTTCTATAACTCCTACATAAGCGTATTTCCTTGCGGAATTAGTAAAACTTTCATATAGGACAGGGGCTGATTGTGTAATTTGTAAATTGTGCCGTACAGCAACAGACAACATAGCAAAGCACTTCCTTATACAAAGTCCATCTTTATTTAGCTTTTAGAGAATGTTGTAAATACGCTAAAGGTTATTGATTATGTTAAATTTGATTTATTTGGAGAAGACGATCAGTACCTGTTTCTCTTAGGTAGTGGTGATGGAAATAGATGATGATGAATGGGAGAACTGCATCCTCGGAGTAGCACGCTGTGTAGAGCACATTCTTTCTGAAGTCAACAGATTTCTTGAGAAGTGAATCGAAATTTCTGAGAGGTCAGTTGTACTGACCAATGTAGTATGTAAATGATCTGTAATGCTGATAACATAACAATATGACATTTATATACCATGTTTTCTATAATTGTACGAGTTAATTATTGTAACAGTTCACTCATGTAAGACATGTAATCTCTGTATGGAGGAAATAAACAATCTGTCTGTCTGTCTGCCTCAGGGATATAAAGGTTATATAACTCATAAATACCTGTACTATCTTACCTCAGGGGAAGAAAGGTTCTAAAACTCCTACATAAGCGTACTAACTTCCCTCAGGGGGATAAAGGTTATATAACCCCTACATAAGTGTACTAACTTACCTCAGGGGGATAAAGGTTCTATAACTCCTTCATAAGTGTACTAACTTACCTCAGGGAGATAAGGTTCTATTACACCTTCATAAGTGTACTAACTTACCTCAGGGGGATAAAGGTTATATAACTCCTACATAAGCGTACTAAACTGCTAGTCTGTAAGTACAGGTCACCTTATGTTACTGAGTACCGTTAAATGATACAATAAGTTTCCATATTTAAAACAATTGGTACAAAATTATTAGCTAAAACGTTTACTTAGTTAGATATCATTTTGGACTGTCAAAAATATTTCCTCGTTTTTCTGTTTGGAGTAAATATCATTACCCCATAGAAGTGTTTTTTCAATAAGAATAATATCTGACTGATGTAGTGTATTTTGTCTGATTGTGGTATAATTGTCCCAAGATAGTAAAAAATGATAGGTACTTTCAACTAAACTGCAGTTACATAATGGACTTTCCTCCAAATTTCTTATGTAAGATTACTACATTTAAGCCTTAATCGTGTATGTAAAATTGGAAGATGTCTACTTCCAATGTTAAAATATTGAAGGATTATTACTTTATCCTTTTGTAAAAAGCTTTTAATTATATCAACAGACGGATTTTCACGAATATCTACAGGTAATGCATTCCTTAATTGTACTGAGGAATTTAAAAACGAGTCTTTATAAAATTGAGTTCTACATT